ATACTAGTGCAGCGCTCTACCAATTGAGCTAGCAAGCCAACTGGGAGCAGGCCGTTAAGTTGATTCGTAATAAACCCGTGATGATAAATCCGATACAATGTATATATAAGAGTTACTCAGGGTAAGTATAGGAGTCGATCGGATTCAATCAACCAGCAACAGTCCGAGTGGTTAAAGGGTGATTTTGTTGAGACTAGAATTATACTAGAGAATCAAGTGTTTTTGCTTATTTTAATTCATTGGTAAAAATTGTTACATAGAATTAAAGTTTCCATCTCTCGGCCCTATGCTACTGATGACGAACCTAAAAGCGTACATTAGAGGCATTGTTATCAGTCAGTCAACCAGAGCTACTCAGAATAATTACGAATCGATCGGATTTGATGAATCAGTAAGAGTAAGAGCGTTTAAGTAGAAGAGAAGCGGGTGAAGTGATTTAGAAATGTATTAGGGAACAAAGATCAAGAAGACCGTTATGGGAGACGTCGAAAGTCCTTGGTGTTTCTACCAGGGACCGCGGAGCAAGGTGTAAAGTGGGAGGGCTGACAATTGAAAATGATTTTTTCATATTGGAAATCGAAAAAAGGAATAAAATCATAGTAAGTATTTTTCTTTTTTAGCGCAAAAAGTGGGGGCGGGGGCGCAAAAAAGTGGTGGGGCTGCGGCCCTACCAGCCTTTCCCCTTCCGCGGTCTCTGTCTACCTAAGCGAGGTACGCTCTGCACCTAGTTTTACCCAAATACGCGAAAAATTGTCAGTCATCTTAATCATAGTATAATGAGAATTTTTGAGAAGCGAATGTTTGAATTTGCCACTGTACACTGCTTGAAATGTAATCGCAGAGACTCCAGCTCTCCCAGATTGCGTCGGAAAGAATACCCTGAGAACCAATCGGTTTCCAGCATTTTCCATTAATATTTATACAGACGCACAGCAAACCTGTTTCCGTGACCATAAGAGTTAAATCACATTAAGCTGAAAGAAACTTTGCACCTTGTTAGTCGAGGCTGAGCGCAAAAGCCTCTAATTACGAGCACAGTGCAACAAACAAGTTTTATTGGTAGCCGAACCTATGTTAATATAAGCCGATATGGTAGGCGAACTAACAAAAGGTCCGTCGATATGAAAGTGGAAGATATTAAGTGGTACAGTCCTTTGGAGTTCTTTGTTGGAGCTATTTTTAGTTTTGCTGATCCCATCACCGACATATTCACACTGATGGAATTCTATCGCACGGATCACAAGACATGGTTTGGCGTGGGGCTTGCTTTCGTTCTTTTTCCGTGTTTGGTGTTTCCAGTATTGTTCTTTCATATCCGCCTTGATGACGCTAATAATTTACCTTCACGATATGCAAAAACTGCTTTTTGTGCATTCCATCCATTTTCAGCAGCCTTCGCAAGAATTGAAGCTTCGATCTTCTGTCTCAAGATACGGTGGTTTGGAAGTGATGAAATCGACAAGGATGCCTCTGACAAAGCTGAAAATTTACTCGATCATATTGCTTTTGCTGTGCTCTTTGAGGCAGTCCTTGAGTCCGCCCCGCAATTTATAATCCAGTTGTACGCCATGAGTGTTCAAGAGGAACCAGTTGCATATATTCAAATGATTTCTTTACCTGTCTCTTTCTTCACTCTGGCCTGGGCTTTCACAGCCACTGATGAGGACATTCTCATCCGATACGACATAATATCAAGTGGCAGTGAACTGAAAGTAAAACACAAAGTTGCATTGTATACAACTCAATTACTTCTCCTGAGCAGTCGATTGTTCGCCATCTGTTATTTCACCGTCAGCTACAAGTGGTGGGTTATTAGCGTGTTATCACTTCATTCTTTTGCTGTGGTAGTAGCGATTCTTTATCTGAATGGAGAAGGATGGACTGTAAAACATGCCCTTTTTATGATATTCTTTATGGGAATTCACTGTCTGAGAGATGATGCTTCGATTCTCTTCTTCGATGAAAGCACAGAATTAAATTATGTGAGTGTGACTGTGCTTTTGTCACACTTTTTGTTTGAATTGGAAAACTGTCTCATGATCTTAATGTTTTATTTCAGTTATTACGTCAAAACTTGGTACTGTTTACCTGTCACTGTCTGTGTGTGTGTGATCAGTGTTGTTGGCTCCACAATGAGAACTGTTTTACTTTATTGGCTATGGAAGAAAGCTACCGACGGTTCACAAGCGGCGAACAGCAGTGACGCGAACGGCAGTAATGTAAATACATTAGTTGATTAGTGTTGCATTAGCTTCGTCTAATGTAGTAATTCGTTTATATTTAGCTTGTAGCCGTACTAGTTGAATTTTTGAGGTCCCAAGTTATTTAGGTTAAAGCTATCGAGCCAGAAAGTATTTCAATTGTAACCGTCTTGTTTAATTTCCATTATTGTACGTGTTTAGTTTTTTCTCCTACTAACCTCACCTTTGAGCCTCACGAAAGTTTTTGTTTTGGCTTACGCAGTCAGCGATTGATTCATTTGATCAGAAGCATTAGTACATTGTTGTTTGTATGTGAAATTCTTGTAAATTAAAATATTTGGGTTGGTGTTCTAAAAACAGAAAGTGTTAATCTTCCAAAGTCAGTTGACCAGCATGTCCACTCATGCCTATCGATAGCCAATATATAAGTATATACTTTACAGTTGGCTTAGTAGAAGTAGGCATTAAGTCAGAAGTAAGTAGTCAGTGGGAAATAGAGGAATGCGATTCAGAGTGTAAGCATAAAAATAGATTTATCAGAGTATTACTCAAACGTGAGTAGTTTTAAAGTTATGAAAAATCATGATGATTTTACTAAACTGGTAGATATCTTAATCAGTTTAGGGTTTTCACTTATTTTCATATGTCAGTAAAAGACTCTAATTCAGCGGGCACATAAGATGTGACAAATACTTTTAAATTTGTTACTCAAGCGGTAGAAGGAAGAATATAGATACATGACAGGCAGCGAGTAATGGATAGAATAGATTCAGCTTGGAGTAAGTGGTTTAGAAGTTTGACAAAAATAGCTCAATTTCATGAATTTTAGATTTTGGAGGATGATGTTTTGATACTCTCATGCTAAGAAAGATGTTGATTTGATTTGTGTAACTTCCCTTCGTGAATAATTTTGATCTACAGCTATGTAAAAGTTGATATTTTCTAAGATCAAAAATTGGAATAAAAGTTATTTGTATAGTCACTCAAAGGGCTTAGGGCTGATGTTTTCTTTTGACGGTCCCTGGATTTCCCTGCGCTTCATCCTCGCTTAAATAAAATGTGCAAGACTATATTAGTATTTTATTAAGTGACAATAATTGTAACCTTTACCTTTGAGACAAGATTATTCACTGCACTGCAAAATGAAATTGTTTTTCTTTTCGATCAAAGTTAATTCAGTCTTAGATAAGATGGTAAGGACTGAAAAAATTGTCTGCACTGGAGACTAAATCTTGACATTAAAGTAATCGAGAAACCGCCGGGCTGCTGCTAGCTGTTTCTAACATTTATAACTTCGTGATTAATAAGTCTAGCGGGACCTGATACCTAGCTATTGGTAGTATATTTTCAAGTCGAACATGATCTACCCTCTTTGGTTGTCACGGAATAATCACTTTTTCATAGAGTACATGCGATATGGGTTTTTTTTTTTCAGTTCACGTCCATCCTCAACCCTAAATTTAACACCCAGTGTGCTCGCTTTTTCTGGAGCAGCCAGCTCGAATGACAAATCGACAGAGAAAAGAATAACAAGCAAGAATTATTGTTCAAGTTTGAAATACGGAAAAAAAAACAGGGGACATTTGTTATCTACATTGATATATAACGGATAACTAAAATAAAATTCAGACAGCGGGTTTAGACTGGGGGGATCCTTATCCGCTGGCAGAGTTAGACTAGATAGAGACTCTTTAATTAAACATTTATTGTAGAAGGAATGAAATAAACAATGGATGAATACAATATTGAGTATTAAGTGCTTTATAGAAGACTCAATTATTGCTTCGAGTGAGTGGTTACTAAGTCTGACGCTATCGAAGACAATTCATTTAAAATTTTAAGATTTTAGCTGATACCAATCTAGATATTTTGACACTCTCATACAAACATTCTGTTGATTTGCATTTCAATAGTCTTGAAGTCTAAATTACATACTTTCAATCGCTTTTTTTTTTTTTCGGAACATGAATCTCATCTTTAAAGAAACGTATATGCGAAATCTTAAATCAAGAAAACCGAAAGGCAACAGTTAGGACCTTTGAAAGTTGCGTTCCAAGAACAGTTTATGCGATTAAAATTACGAACATGAAACCCAAAGTTACTAATCCGAATCGTAACAAAACCGAAGTTATTTGAAGAATGTTGTTGACTGCACTTGAATACACATTTTAAAAACAACTTAGTCTGACCCTTTCTAAGTACACTGGTTTATGAATCATGAGATTTTGACTAATCATGATCTGGATTTTTTCCCTCTCTCGATGTAGGACAGATATTGATTTTCCTTTAGCCGACACTTCAAGGTGCGTAACTTCAATCAAATTTTGATCTTAAACTGTGGGCAGCTTGATAATTGTAAAATCAAGAATTAGAATTAAAAGTCATCTATATCTGACCAGAACACTTCCATGAGTTTTGAGAATCTAACAAGATGATCCTGTTTATTTAAAGCATGTTATTTATAGAAGTTTTGCACAGCAGCCATGTTGCATCAGGCAGGAACAGTAGATTATTTTTCCCATGGGAAAAAAAATTTTCTTTCTTATGTAAAATATTTTCATTGTTCCTGCCATGCAACATGGCTGCCATGCAAAACGTATATTGCAATTAAATACACAGTTAGAAAACAATAGTCTGATACTATCAAAGAATTTATGAGGCTTATGAGTCTAAGATTTTGATTAATGATGTAGATCTTTCCCTTCTCTTGTACTACACCTCAAGTCTACCGATTGTGAATATGAAGGAGTGTATTATAGAGTTCTTATCAGTCAATCGACCAGAATCACTAAGAGTAAGTATAAGAGTCGATCGGATTCAATCAACTAGTAGGAGTCAGAGTGTTTAAAGGGTGATTTTGTTGTGACTAGCACTGTATTTAAGAACGGGGTGTTTTTACTGATTTTCATGTAAAAATTGTATATATAAGTTATATGTGATAGATAATTAAAGTTTTTTTAACTCATAATGTAGATGGGATAAAATAAACAGATAATCATGACTAGTAGCCCGAAATGGGAATGGATAAAAATAGACTAGTAGATACTTACCAAATCACTCCTTTTTAGCTCCGTTTTAGCTCGGAGTACGTGGTCTAGAAATTTGGCACTTTCCAAGGGCAGTCAGTTTATGAATGTAAAATTTTTGAGGGATGTTGATGGGGAACTTGACACTCACAGTAAGAAAATGTTGATTTAAATTTAGCCAACACTATAAGGTGTCTGACTTATCGCAGAGGACTTTAATTTGCATTGAAAGCCGGGTACAAGTTGATATTTTTACAAAACTAGAATTCGAATAAATGTTGTCTGTATTCAACAAGAAACCGGAATAATTCTTCAAATACTGAGAATATCTCATGATCATGGTGTTTCAAAATCTGTTAATGGGAACGACTGATGGTTGTTAATGTGAATCGTTAATCGAGTATATTCTTTACTGCAGTTAAATACCCATTGTGAGTAGGGGTTAAATCCGAGGGGGTCCAAATCTATTGTGACCGGCTCACCAGCCGCAAAGAGTAGACATGCGCGAAGTACGAACATGAAAGCCAAAATCATTTATCCGAATCTTAACGAAGAATGTTGTTGACTGCACTTGAATGTACATTTTGAAAACAACTAAGTCTAACACTTTCTAAGAATATTGGTTGATGAATTATGAGATTTTGTAATGTTGTCATCCAGCTTTTTTCTCTCTCGTTGTAGGATAGATGATGATTTGCATTTAGTTGACACTCCAAGGTGTGTAACTTCACCCAGTATTTGCTTTTGATCTAGTGCTGTTTACGAGTTATTTCTGAAATCAAGAATTTGAATAAAAGTTACCATATCTGACCAGTACACTTCTATAAGCTCTGCGAATGTAACAAGATCACCCTGTTTCACTGATCTGTAAATGGGAACAACAGGTGATTAATTAAGACAGCGTGAACAACATGATTATCATGAATACCAGAACTAAGCTAAATCCCAGACTTCCAAGTGTCAAGAGGAATTAGGATAAACAACAAACAGCATTTCATGCCTTCAAGGATTTTAACTCTCTCAGCCAAGCGACCAGGCAATCCGCTGATCTTATTATTTTTAAACGCAATCTTTTAAATTTGTGACTTAACTGAATTTTACACCATGTTATTTTCGAATCTGTGATCCACACGATTTTAACTAATGTGTTGTTTCCTTTTATACTTTTTTACATATTTTTAGCTTTAATTGTGCGAATTATTTTTTGTTTTTGAATCTTTTTTTTCTGAGACCCTTTTTGAAAACCTATTTTATATGAAAAAGTCATCTCAATAAAGATCATTATTATTATTATAATCGGAATCGTTAAGAACAACAACGAAACCGCAGGTATTTTTAGAATCAGTTAATTTTCGAAAACGACATAGTCTGGTACTTTCAGAGAATATTGGTTTACGAATTAACAAATGGTAAACACCACAGCGTACACTATTGAGTTATGGATGCACGCGGGAGGTTGCTAAGCACGAAAGAAGCGTAAGAGTCGCTCGAGGCGATAGCCGAGAGCGACTCTAGCTTCTTGAGTGCTTAGCAAACCTCCCAAGTGCATCCATAACTCAATAGTGTACGCTGTGGTGTTTACCATTTGTTTTATAACATAACATTGATACATTGTAGCTAAAGAGTTCCCTTTTATTTAACAAATCTTACGCGACCAGAAAAAACAAGCGCGCGCGGAAAAATAGTCTTTGCATTTGCTCACGTCAGCAGCGTACACCCATGGGCAAATGGGGGACGCTAAATTGACCAATCAGAGCGCGCGCTTTACTTTGGTTATGTTATAA